GATCAAAGTAATTAGTTGAGTCATGAGCGATGAAAAATTAATTCCATATAAAATATTATATTTCGCAAAAACAAAATAATACTAGAAAAGAAAGACATGTCTTTGTTGGACATATTAACAAATGTGGATTGTTTTGTAGTTTTAATTAATTCTTTTTATTTTTGGGCCTTCAACAGTTAATTGTGGTCATGAATAGATGTAGGGATACTTCTTGTTCGGTTTGAGTCACCTTCCACCTAAAAATTAAAGGAACCAAATTTTGAATTTTTATATTGAAATAAACCAAATCAATTATAGTAAGTTACAATATTTTGTACTGCTTCAATATTATTCGAAATGGTTTTCTTTTTATAAGAGATTTTTATTTTTACACGTAAGAAATCTTCATTTTTAAGATCTGAAAATGTCATTTTCTTCTATTCAAATTTTAAGAGGATAAGAGATCTTATTTCCTCGATTTTTCATAAGAGATCTTCATTCTTTAAGATCTAAAAATGTCATTTTTCTTCGATTCAAATTGTAAGAAGGCAAGAGATCTCTCCTCAAACTTTTTGTGAGTTTCTTTGAAATGTATGATCTAACCCATCAATCACATGTTTTAGCATAAACACCATCAATGACAAATAATTATCAATTTGAAATAATAACCATAGGAAGCAAAATCCTAACACCAAAAGTATTCGCTCCTCGTAGACAATGCACATTTGTTAAATAGTTGGTGATAATTTAAATAGAAAATTAAAATACAAACACCTCCAACGATCAATATATATCAAATTTTGAATTAAATTATCTCTGGTCCATTTCATATATACATATGTACTTATATATGTTCGTGTATATTTATGAATATATCTATATATGAATGTGTATGAATTAGAGATGACAGTGAGGCGGAACATATATATATATATGTGGCGTTGAAACTTTTTATAAAGAATTTTATGCGTGGACAATATAGGTTCAAATGCAAGTGGTTACGCATGATATTACAACTTTACCAAACATAATTAATTTAGTCAAATTTAGACAAGAAAATATAAAATAAGTCATCCAGTTTTGCAGCTAATTATGAATTTGGTACAAAATGGTTATTGCTAGTTTAAAAGTCTATGGTCCAGTCTTTGCATCCCTAAAAAAAAAAAAAAAAAGACCATTCTTCATGAACCCCTTTCAGCAATTATGAACTCTTCAAGGAAGTTTAAAAAACCTAAACTATAGTAATTTTCAAGTTCTTTTATATGTAAATTTACATTTTTCTTGTAAATTAAGCTTGGTAGATACTAGATAACACATTTGTTTTTGTTAGAATGGGTTAAAGTCCCATACATATGTTGAGGAATGGACTGACGATTTGCTTATATGGACTTGAACAATCCTCTCCTCATGAGCTAGCTTTTGAGATTGATGAGTTAGATGTATGTGTCATATCTTTACATGGTATATCAAAGCCAGGTCTATCATGTTCGGGCTCCCAATCCACACTCCTCATGAACTAGCTTTTGCGACTGAGTTAGACTCAAATGTCATATCTTTTACATGCTTACACAAGTCGCGGTATAAGCCAAGCAGTCTGCTATCTAATTAGCTTCCCTTAAACAATGAGACACCAGAACATTAGCTTGATTGATGATCTACATAATGTCTTCAATTTTTGAACCTTATGTTATCAAATAAACCCTTGTTAAGCATATTGATAAGTAAAAACTATCTAATTAGGCAAACATTCCTATCATATTTATTAATTCTTCGTATAGTTTGAAATAATTACATATTGTCTTACTAATTAAGAATTTCATATCGAATTTCAAGTCAAATGCACCTAAATACATGCATTTTTGCTATCAAATACACTAAAATAGTGAGAGAGGCAAGCGAGAGAAGGAGAGAGGGGAACAAGTTAATCTATGTATCCCAGATACTTGTGAATCGAGCTAGATACATGTATCTGGGATACCAAATATAGGGAGAGTGGCGAGCAAGATAGGAGAGAGACAAGCGAGAGAGTCAGATACGGCATGCGAATCCACTTGAATATAGTGTATTTAGAACAAATTACACCTAATTTTGACCCTATATATCTGAGATACACATATCCACACCAAATACATATATCTGAAGTCCAAATTTTGGTAAGTTTCATAATATTAAAAAGGGAAAGGAAATGAGATAATTAGGTACTTAACTAGTGAATTTTTTGTTAATTTCATCATGGAGACCAAATATAAACAAAATTCAGTAATCACAACCATCAAAGGCGTCATAATAAAATCAGAAAATTGGTTTGGTTGAGGCCCACATATGACACCTTTGTTATAAAAGTCTTGGACAATGACTCCATATAAAATATGTACGAACATAAATTGTGAAGACATCTTCAATGTTTTTGGTCTAAAAATCATACAAGAATTAGATTGATGAGTGAGTAGAAAAGGGGGCAAACATTTATATTAGTTCATAAAAAAAAAGTAGTAGCAAATATAAGTGGAATATAAGATGTTGCTTCTAGTAACCGCTGCTTAATAACAAGATGAATATAGTATACATTGACCAAGTAAGACATCTCCTCATAAAATCACTTGATTTGTCATAACATTTTGTGATTGATGTAATTTCTATAACTACTTTTATTGATAATTAATCATTAAAGAGAGTCATTAATAATAACATACACTTCTTATAAATGAGTGATTATATATCCTTCTTGCAAGTATTGTTAAAAAAAAATACACTTAGAAAATTTTATTGATAGAGATCCGACATAATATCAGGTCACGTTATAAAAATATACAAGTTCAAAGAAACTCAAAATAATTCACAAGGACTATTAATAAAAGCAGAAAAGGAGGAAGACTAACTTTTAACTAGATTACGGTTAAAAAAGCAAGGAGAGGTATTGAATATTGCATCTATTATTGCTACACCTTTTCTACCTTGTTGTACATCTCTCTCCAAAAAATCCGAACATGATTAAATCAAATTATGTCGTAATGAATATTTCATTTTTCTCATAGAAAGGATGAAATAAATCTAAATTTACTATTAAATTATTAATAAGATTTAATAATTCTTTTCTAATCGCTAGAAGCACGAATATGTATTCACTAGTCAAGAAAGAAATTTGGCACGAATATTATGTTTTAGGGTGTGTTTGGTATGAGGAAAATGTTTTCCTAGAAAATGTTTTCATGGAAAACAAGTTGATTTTTGACTTATTTTCTCATGTTTGGTTGGTGAGTAGAAAATATTTTCCGAAAAAGATTTTTAGTGTTTGATTTATGAATGAAAAAATATTTTTGAGAAATATCTTTTATTTTTACTAGAGTAGAAAATAATTTTTGAAATTGAAAATATTTTTTAAAAACAAACTTAAATTTTTTTTTGGGGTGTGGGGGGTGGTAGAGGGTGGGTCGATGGCAGGGGTGGAAAATTGAAATTTGAAGCTGAAAATATTTTTAAAAAACAAACTTAAATTATTATTTTTTTGGGTGGGGG